CCGGGGCGATTGGGCTGTTTTGTGCCCCCCTTCCCCACCCTCTCATCCTTGTTTCACTCCTCGAGCCCTCGGAGTCGGTTCAGTAACTCTGAATGCGGTTGTAAGTGTCTTGCCTTGTTCTCCTGCTTTTTTAACAAGAGTCCCACTTTAACACGCGAATGGGTAACCCGATCCGGGCGTTTACAAACCTACAATGAATAAAAATATAGGGAAAGGGGAAGAGAAGGGAAAGAATTCCTAGTGGGACTCTTTATTCATAGGTGGAGGTAATACGCTCAGTAGGAACAGGTACATTTGGCAGTTTTATTGCTTTATACCCTCCAGCTTGCTGTTAACATCGTGAAGGCGGTTGGGTTTGGGGTTTGGTTGTTGGTTTTGTTTTGTTTTTTTTTTCGCAGGTGCACATACTAGCATTTTCTCTGTGCATAACAAAAGGTGTCAGAAAAACGGACCGGGGAGCGTTTGCAACACGTTGCTTTCTTATTTCGAAATAATTCCTGCCGCATAATGGGCGCTATATCCGGCGACGGGGTGGGGGGGAGAGAAAGTGGGGCAGGAGAGGAGATGGGGTTGAAATCGTACCCACCTCAGCCAGGGGGATGAGGCACCGGTGTCAGACACCGGGAAACACACACAAAAAATAAAATAAAGGAGAAAAAGAAAAGGCAGGGAGAGCCTGGAGGAGCTGCTCCTTCCACAGGCAGCGAGAGGAGCCGGACGAGCATCCCTGGGTCCAGCCCGAGGGATGGACCCACTGCGGTGGGTCAAGGACAAGGCAGCGGTTTGCGGGTGCGGGAAACAGCGGTACAACGCGGGGGGGGGGGGAGAGCCCTCGATAGGAGCCGGCGGGAGGGGAGCGCTGGGGACCCCCCCCCCCCTTTCTGTCATCAGGCCAGTTGACTCCATCCAGCCTCACACCGCTCATTTCCCCCAATTTAATTAGGCAAATCTCTCGGTGTGGAGCTCCCGGTGATTGGTCGATGTTAATGACTCGGCTGCAAGGAGTCACGCTGCTTGTCAATATTTATTGTTTTCTTTTCTTTTTCTACAACCCCCCCACACACACACCTCCCCCAGCTTTTTCCCCCCCG